CCCCAAAACCCCAAAACCCCAAAACCCCAAAACCCCAAAAGCCTAAAAATAATAGATTTTTATACAATATGGATTGGCTAAGGTCAAAGGTTAGTGGAAAAAGAAACAGATTTAAAGACGAAGATTACAATCTGGATATTACCTATATCACAGATCGAATTCTAGCTATGTCTTTCCCCGCCTCAGGGTTTGAAAGATGCTATAGGAATAACATAAATAGTGTCTCCAGGTTTCTTGATCAAAGACATCCTGGGAATTATAAAATTTATAATCTGTCAAACAGGACTTACAATTTCAATAAATTTAAAGGTGAAGTTGTATCATATGAGTGGGAGGATCATCATGCTCCCCCAATTCTTCTGCTCTTCAGAATTTGTTACGATATGTATAAATACCTACAAAATCCTAATAATGTGATCGTTGTTCACTGTAATGCTGGAAAAGGAAGGACTGGCACTAGTATTTCATGATTCCTGATCTATTCTGGGTTAGCTCAGAGTTCCCAAGACGCTATCCGGTATTATGGAAGAAAAAGATTTAGCACTGGTCTTGGCATTACACAGCCCAGCCAAATCAGATATGTCCGATATTTTGAGTTAGTGTATAAGGGTATTGTTATCTCACCTTCATTAATGGTAATTAAGCAAATCAAAATGAAGACAATTCCACATATGAATGGCAAGTCTTGTAAACCATTCATTGAGCTCCACTCGTTAAGCAAGATGAGCATGTTTTATACTGGAAAGAATGATAATTTAAGGACTTATAAGGATAAAGCAGACAAGAGGAAGGGATCTCGAATGCTGAAGAACCATCGAACTGATCCATACGTCATAATAAATCAACCTCCCGATTTGTCAAAAACTCCTCGGACAGAGAGTGTAATGGAAGAAAGTAAATTTAAGGTTTCTCCTAAATTAGAGAGGAAATACATCAGTGTTGGGCTCGGCTCTCTAGATGACCTTGAATCTAAACAGATGAATTTTCTGGTTCCTCCTAAAGAAAGCAAACAAGTGATATTTGATCTAGAACCTGCTGAGAATATTGAAGATGAGGATGATGATACTGTAATTATTCCTCAGAGAGTTGACCAACTGGTGGCCGGTGATATTCTGTTAAAAATTAAGCACAAAGGAAATTTTTCAAATCCACTAGTGTGTAGAATTTGATTCAATACCGCCTTCGCTTATGACAACATTATGAAATACACTATAAAAGATGTTGACCCAGTCTCTCTACGTAAGAACGATAAATTTGAAGAAGACTTTGCAATTACTCTAGTCAGCGAACCATTTTGTAAAAAGTGCACATCTCAGACACCAATGGAAGAATTCTGAATAAGTTGCCAAACCAATCTAGAAAAAGAAATCAGGAGATGGAAGAAGATTCATAAGATTATTGAGGTCCACAAGAGTAAATACTCTGTTCTCCTGAACTACTCTGCTGCTTCAGAGATGCATTTCTGCCATTCTAACTACGATGACTTTAATGAAATATTAAAGAGAGATAGCTGATACAGAAAGCAATCTTTCAGATGGTCTAAAGCCACATGCAGCATGGAACAGCTTATTGACAACAGTGATTCTGAAGATAGTCAAGGCTCAGGCAGCGAAAAAGATAATCAATGAGAAAAGGAATTTGATAATCAGATATTCACCGAAAATATTGGAGAAGCTATTGATCAATACAACGAAGTCTGACTCACTAAGGTCAAGTCTCAGGATCCTGACTTGTTAGGGGAGTTCGAATTTACACAAGAAATATCTAGGAAATAAGACAAGGACTACTTTTAAAGACGATGCAGATCAATTTACATCATATCAGAAGGACGAGCGGTTAATGAAAGAGTATGTAATTGATAAAGAAATAATGGAGCCTGTGAAATTAATAGTTTCAACTCCTGCTTCTGCTCCAAGCCAGAATGGAAGCAAGATAGATACAAATGAGCTCAAAGCCACTACTCAAACAGAACAGATTCTCGAAAAGATTGATCGAGGAGATAACTTTTTCGATATGATACATGAAGAATACAAGAAGGCAGAGAAAAGACCTCGGAACTGAATAGTCCAAAAGAAAAGGATCAACTCAGGAAGACCTAGCAAGACCGCTGCACAGCATTTGCCTATCTTCCCTACTCACAGCAAGCGTTCCTCATCAAGCAACCCTGAAGAAGCTAATAGAGTGTCTGATTATTTTTTGAGGGAAGATTTTATAAATGAAGAATAGTTTTAGCCCAGAAATGCAATAAATACTTATTCTAATATATTAATCAACCTCTCTTAGCGTTCAACTTGAATATTTAATCAGGGGTTTTGGGGTTTTGGGGTTTTGGGGTTTTGGGG